CCCTGGGCACCCATTAGGGATGGTGGCTGATGTTCAGGGGCGCTCACCACTTGTAAGAAATAAAAAAAGTTATAAAACGTACTAAAATAATAAATTTTAGCCCACTGATAAAGCAACTGTATTAGAAAACTTGTCGAATGCAATAAAATCCAAATATTATATAATATTAAGCTTAAGAAAAGAATTTTATTTTTTTATGGAGGGATATGACGACATTGTCCGGTGGCACCAAATGTCTAAGGCTGGCACTGAATAATACCAATATTTACAACAATGTTTATAGTAGGTTAGAATACATTTTATTTACTTAACTGTAACATCAGTTGTTGAGTTAGATTAGTTTAAACACCATTCATTTAATCTTTGATAAATCAAAAGAGAGACATGTACAAAGGTATAAATAAACCAAAAAATGTTTGGGAATCGTAACAACTGAAATCAGGGATAAAAATAAAAATATATGGACCCATCCAGTAGACTTAATAAGTAAGTTTAAAAACTCTCTGACAATATTTAAAATATGGAAACTAATGATCTGTGACGTCTTTCTGAGTACCAGAGAGCTGAAACATTAAAGAGGAAGTTGAAATAGTCGCCACAATTTAATCACCTCAATTATATTAAGGATCATATTAAGCAAATCATGAAATTAAAATCTTATAAAACAGCAGGAACTAATAATATTCCTAGTGAACTAATCAAGGCATGTGGGGAAGCTATGGTTGCTATATTTTAGTTAAAAAGATCTGGAACAATGTAAAATTGTCTGAAAAATGGAAAGAATCTATCCTTATTCTAATTCAAAAAAAGACCTAAGGACAGATCTTAATAACTATCAAAGAATCTCGCTCTTTTTTGTATGTTATAAAATTCACAGTATTCAGTGTTATAATATTCAAAGTGATCCTAACTAGTCAAATCACAGAATATGCTGAGCAAATCATCGGAGAATATCAATGCTCGTACTTGGTTATGCTGATGATTAGGTACTGTTAAGCAAAGACATATAAAGAATTAAACTAAATACAATATTGATGAAAGCATGTAAAGAACTGGGGCTCAAAATAAATGCATACAAGACAAAATAAATGGTTAGTTGCAAAAATGGCGACAAGAAAATTTAGATGGTCACACAATGGTGAATTATGTGATCTGTATCCTGTTAATATAATTGACGTGATTAAATTGTGGCAAATAAGATGGGCATATAAAATTGTTGTTCGTGGTAACGGAAGAATCCACAAAATATTAATTCCCAGTGTCCTGACTCGTAAATATTCGAGGTGTAGATGGAAAGATTGCATTAAGGCTGATCTGAGAGGGTTGGATTTGAACAGCAGCTGGTGGAAGAAAATATGTAGACAGAGATTGGCGGTATCGGTGGTATGAAACCTTTGGGTTTACTGAGCCTCGTATTATAATTACTATTATTATATAGTATTCAATACAGAAATATTTAAGTTGAACAAGATCATATTTCAATTTAACCTTATTAGCCCTAGAGCCAGGGCTGAAAATTTAGGCGAAGGTTTCAATGTAATTAACGAAAGTTTTTGTTATTTTAAGTTAAATGAACTTTGTCTGCCATTCTAGGGCTGCTGCTTTAAAAAATGGCAGCTGGTTTAAAGAATATTAGGCCACTAACTTAAGGATCAAAACGGGAAATACACTGACAGGCAAAAAATTCCACCCACTTGATTTTTTCATGTTTTCATCTAAAAATATTTCTGCTACTTGTAAAAAACGTTGTATTTGTATATAATACATGGTATTTGTAGATAATACTTAGTATTTATGGAATTTTATAATCTTTTTTACCTTTAATAATCATAATGTGATTGGGTAAGAAAGATTAGAGAAAAAAAATTGAAAAACGAACCATTATTATTCTAAAAGAAATTAATTACATCATCGTTTAGCAGCGCGTGTTTCCTCCTCTTGCCTTCACTACTTCTTGAAGACACCTCGGCATACTTTCCACCGGTCCACCTTTGCTGGAGGACAGCCCATTCCTTCCGAAGAGCCCTTCAAAGGTCCTGCAGTGTATCAGAAAGTGTTGCACGTGCTCTTATTCATCTTTCGAGGTTATCCCATAAATGCTCAATGGGGTTCAAATCTGAAGAACCTGCTGGCCAGGCTAAAACCTCAATATTGTTCTGTTGAAGGAACGTCTGCACTATGCGGGCGACAAGTGGGCATGCATTAGAATAGAACGATCGTCAATTTCGTTGAGGATAGACGCCTTTCACGCCTGTCTGGAGATCGAAGAGCGAATCTTGACTCATCTGTAAAAAGTACAGTACTCCATTCGTCCATAGTCTAGTGGCTGTGTTCTCGAGCAAAAGCCAGCCGTGTTACTCTGTGAGTTCTGGTCAACTCTGGTCCTCGTACTGGACAAAAAGCCATTAATCCATACTTATTTAATCTTCTCCGAGCGGTACGTTCAGAAATTTGCACACCTCGAACTTCTTCGAGCTGATGAATTGCTTGAACAACGGTAAGGTGCCGGTTTCATAAAATTCTCAAAGTCAAAAACCGGTCATCCCGTGGTTCTGTTACCCTAGGCCGTCTAGAACCGAGCCTTCTATTGTAAGAACCAGTTTCCCGAAAACGCCTGACGGCATCTGGTAAAGTTTCATATGGAACTCCAATGGCATTAGCTGCATAACTAATGGAACGTCAATCATCAATAAGTGCCACACCAAGTGCAACATCCTCAGCACTAAGAGGCACTTTTAAACTTACTATTGAAAAATCAAAAGCCGGAGACTAAGAAATGTGCTGCAAGAAACAGCACTGAACTAATGATACTGAATAAACATTTTGATTCCATAGAAAGTAAACATTGGAATCTAGAATCATTTCATTGAATTAAGGATTAAGGGTTATGGTTCTCTATATTAACATTCCTAATTGAAAACAAACAAAAAGATTACCTATTTATTCATTAAAAACAATAAACCAATCCAAAGCAGACATATTTTTAGATGAAAACATGAAAAAATCAAGTGGGTGGAATTTTTTGCCTGTCAGTGTATATTGTGAAAAAAGTGATTTTTTAAAGTTATTTATTAACAACTTTTTGTGTTTATGGGTTCAAACATGTAAAAACCAAAATTACTAATGTGAGCAACCAAGGTATGCGAGTGATTTACATTAAAACCGTTGGTAAGCAGTGGACGCAGAATTTAATGCTCTACAACTTTGGTTTTATGAGTTTATCGTCTTAGGAAACTTATTTCCGAACTTCAGGGCCATTTAAAGTAATTTATCTAAGTTTTGACAAATTTTGTAAAAATCAGAGTTCGTTGGCGGTGGTTTTCTACCATATCACTTAATCAAATTTTAAGTTTAGGTACTCGTTCGACGCACGATTTAACGTCCTTTAATTTCTTAAAGAATATATTTTTCATTACGATGCACCAGTCAGATGTTATAGGTGAAAAAACAAAAAGAGATCGAAAAATATGGATTTTTTATGCTGTAAGGTTTTCCCTTAGTTGCTAGCGTTAACAATTTTGGTTTTTTATTTATTTAAATCCATACACCCCATATACACAAGTTAAAAAAATAACTTCTCCCACATTTTTCACAATATATTTCCCATTTCGGTCTTTAAGCTACTTACTTAATATTCATTAAATCAACGGCCATTTTTCAAAGTATCGGTAATTTACACACTAACCTTCACCTGTGATAAGATTGATTTTTGGGCCCAGACTCCACGGCTATACGTAAATCTTTTCTAATCTCTCATAAATCTTCAATATCAAAGTTTCTACTTTTCCAGAACTAATCAAAAACAAATTCTTATACCAGCAAATTATTATTTTTCTTAAATCTTGATTATTATACTTATTAATTTCTATTGTATACCACTTTGCAAGTATCTCTCCAGAATCATGAAAGGGCGCAAGACCATATAGGGTTACGAGAAGGTCACACCTCTGGTAACACATCTAGTAACTCTATCTACTTTCAGAAGCAAGCGGTAATTTTCCAAATTTCATCTAAAGAATGATCATGAGAACTTGAGCACAACTATCATGGTGAAGTGAAACACTTAGAAAATAGTACCATACTGAGTTACAATTGTTACTTGTAATTATTGTGCTTAAAAAATCAAAAACGCACATGGAATTATGATTACATCATAAATTAACTTCAATCGAAAACATAATAATCATGTCTATTTCAATATTCAAGAATCAGCACACAATATAACCGAAATATTAAGAACATATAATTCACACTGTTGTCTATATTTATTAGTAGAAAAAATTGAATGTGATGAGCGGAAGCCTCTATGAATAAAGAATAATCAGAATTCCTGAAATCAGTCCCCTCTATTTCTTTTGGGACATACACATTCATTTCCGGCACTCCATTTACAATTATGACTGAATTGATCTTTGTTTATGAGCCATCCGGACGTAACATTTGTTAACTAATAACCTAGAAACTAATAACATGACAAAATTACTTCCAAGTTAAATTGCAAATGCAAAGAACCATTTATATAATGTTAATGTGTATACAACAATATACAATTTGGAATAACTACAACTTAAACTTAAAAAGAACAAAGATCAACAATGTTTAGCAGAGAGCATCCCTTTTACATTAGTTTCCACACCATTAAAACAATACTAAATAACACCTTATTCTATTCATTAACATAAAAAAACAGAAATTTTTTCAAATACAAGTTAACTCTCAATGTATTCAGTGTTACAATTTGCGAATTAAAATAGAAATTTAATAATAAGTCACAAATAAACATTAGAAAAAAAAAAATTGGGCAGTAATGTAATACTTGCCGGTTTTCAATTAAATTAACTCATATCTACGATTTTAACCTACAAAATCTGAACCAAACAAAAATATGAGAGACTTTGCTTCTACTAATGAAAAGAAAGGCCTCCAAAAGCTGAAATATGTTAACAATTAATACTAGGAAATAACTGGTAAAAACTTTAGATTATGAAATAAATACATACGAGACCATAATCTTCTTCTTCTTCACACATATAGTCGTCCTCTAGGTCGGAAGTTAACATATTTAAGCAGAAAAAAAGGACACAAAATAAAAAAATGAAAAGCACGACAGTAATCTAGACCTAGAAATATATCAACCACAAGTCTCACAACATATTAACAGTTGATGTTTAAATTATATGTAACCAAGTATCTAACTTTTGCGGATTTCCACCAATCGATATCATTGGAAGCAGTAGATAAAACCATTGAGAGAGGACAAAAAGTACGGAATTAATAAGGACAAACCCCCCAGTAGGCGGGGCTAGTGTGTGATGTCAGCAATCTGAATTCAAATAGAAAATAAACAATATGTCACAGATCTAAATTTGGGCAAACTTATCCTGTATAACGATATATTATATACAATAAAAAAGATAACAAAATTGTAAATAAAATAATGAGAATCCAACCATAAGAATACTTTTCCAACCAGTTCAACAGGACCTTAAATGATGTTCCTTTCAATAAATTGCATCGATGCCTAACTAGAAAATTTACAACTACAGTTTCTTTGAAAAAATATCGCATAAACATTAATAAATAAATCTTAATTAATAAATACACAATTAATAAATAAACCTACAGTAAAACCTAATTTCGTCTCTTTTGTAAAACAATTAAATTTCTTAATACCTTTCTTAATATAGGTAAACGGGAATATGTTTATCATCAGCGAAAATATAAATTAATAATTAAAGAAATCACAAATAGAACATTCAAATCCTATCTTTCGGAAAAGCCGAAGTAGAAATCTTTTAGCATTTCATTAAGTGAGCATTTCTTTCACCGTACGATAATGATGACATTATGTGTAAATTAGTTTATTCTCATCTTTCACTATGACATCATCATCATCATTATTCTCCACCTAATTCTCTCACACTGTAGGTCTTCTACCTCCATCATATCGTGGATATTGTCTGTTCTCCTCGTGGTAAAATGTTACTTGATAATAATTATGCCATAATTTTAGAATTTCATTGTCATGAGCCACCAAATTAATATTACTATATTGCAGTAACGGTTTTAGGTTTCAGTTCTTTTTCTTTTTTGGAGGGAGGAGCGATCCTGCATGCCAGAGCAAAGTTTAATCTTTGGGTAAAACTTTCATTTTACTCTTGGGATTGCCCTAACCCATACTCCTATTTCAGACCCAGCCTCGACGCAGAAACTGTATTTCTGAGGATTTCCTTGCTTCTTAACTTTCCACTGACAACAGGTTTTTTGGGGGGATTCGTTCTTTCCTCCAGATTTTACTTGCTTGTTCTCATAAAAGTCAAATCAAATGGACTGAATATCTAACCCTGACATTTGCGGTTAGTTTCTAGGATCTTCACGAATCCAACAACCCCTTATTTAATTTCTTTATTCCTTGAAGATTCTAGCTGCAGACGTCCGTATATTGCTCAATATAAATCTTTTCATAAATAAGGACATCCTTCTGGCATAAAAGGAAACCCCAATTTGGTTTTACTGAGCTAATTTACCTTGCCTGCCATTGCAGAGCCGCTGCTTTCCCTAATGGCGGCTGATTTAAAGAATATTAGGGTAGTGAATTGAGAATCGAAACGGGAAACATATTGTGAAAAGTGTGAGAAAAGTTTTTATTTTTTTAACGGGTGTATATAGATTTAAGCACAAACCTTTCAATTTATAGTATTTACATTCTTAAGACATGAATAATCAGTTACCCCATACACGTGGATTTCAAGCCGAAAAATTAAGTTTACGATTCATAAAGTTTACTTTTTTCGGTTTTTCACTTACATCAGTGAAACTGCGAGTTCAATCTATAATATAGATAAATGTGAAATTAAAGCTGACAAAATTTTCAATAGAAATGATTATATTAGTTTTTTTCGCAATATTTTAAGTTTCTGTGATATCCGTCCTCGCAATTCCCTAATTTCGAAATAAAAAATGTTTGCATTGCATTTTTACCATTATTTGACTCGCCAACTCCTTATCTTTTCATTTTACTAAAAAAACATGAGGAAGACAGTTGTTTAATATTAAATGTTTTAAAAATATATATTACTTTTTATTATATTACGTATTACTAGCTTATCTTCAACCATTCAAAGGCTAGAGCAATTAAACTCCAAAACTATACAGAATAACTTAATTTTAGCAATATTCGTTATTTCACGGCTCTCAATCCATATATAAGACAGTATATATATATGTATATTATGTAATCCAATGTATACACATATATATTGTCTATGTATACCAGAGATGGGCATATTTATATTCAAAAATATAAACACGAATACCATTTATATTGATGGTACTTATGAATATGTTTATATTCATAAAAAGATATATAAATACAGATGATACGTATTCACGGCTGTAAATATAAATACGGCCGTATTCACGATTGTAAAAGTGAATAAGGCTGTATTTACACTTGTAAAAGTGAATACAGCTGTATTCACGTTTATTAAAGAGAAGAGCTCGCAAAGTATGGCAAACTGGTCGACTGCCGTCTGACAAACGGACATTCAATAGACTTAACAATGAACTAAAACGACATATTCAAAGTTATAAAACTACAATTTACGACAACTACATCAGAAATCTCTCAACTGATGATGGGAGCTTATGGAGGCATACAAAAAAACTTGTAAATCATCGTGAAGTGTCTGCACCTCTCCGAAACGGTTCGAAATGGTTCCTGGGCCGTATCAGATATAGAAAAATCGGAGCTATTCGCTATCCATCTTTCTTCTGTTTTTACTCCACATACTGACTTCAACAACATTGAACACGAAGAAAAAGTACAAAACACTTTAGACATTCCACTACAATTGGAATTACCTCCACCTTGTTTCACTCCGAAACTTGTTGCAGAACAAATCAGAGAATTAACTAAAAAGAAAGCCCCTGGTCATGACCTCATAACTGCTCAAGTGCTCCAGAAAATGCCTAGAAAAGCTCTAGTTTACTTAACATCTATTTACAATGCAATACTCAGAACGACCAAATTTCCTGTACAATGGAAATACTCATACATTACAATGATCCACAAACCAAACAAAGACAAATACACCCCTTCATCATACAGGCCAATTAGTCTACTCCCAATATGTTCTAAAATCTTTGAAAAACTACTATATAAAAGACTTATGAACATATTGACGGACGGAAAAATAATACCCGAACATCAATTTGGATTCCGACGACAGCATTCAACCATCCATCAATTACACAGGGTGACTGACTACATTGCAACTGCACTGGAGCAAAAATTGTATGCAACTGGAGTATTTCTGGATGTCGCTCAAGCATTCGATAGAGTCTGGCATAAGGGTCTTCTCTTCAAACTTAAAACGATAGTCCCTCCTACCTATTATCTTATAGTTCAATCCTTTCTTTCTGACAGATTTTATTCTGTCTGCCAAGGCTCAGAACTTTCTTCAATAAGACCAGCCTTAGCAGGAGTTCCTCAGGGGTCAGTACTAGCTCTGCTTTTATACATTACATACACACACGACATCCCTAACAGCGCCAGAACTATTATAGCGACTTACGCAGACAATACAGCTATTCTAACCAGACATAAAAACCCAACACACGCCACACAGACTTTACAACATCATCTAACAAAACTAAACGACTGGTGCAAACTCTGGAAAATTCGACTCAACCAAGACAAATCACAACACATCACTTTTACTCTTCGACATGGAACATGCCTTCCCATTTACCTTGACAATGCCGAAATTCCTCAAACAGATAAAATACAATATCTTGGACTGACATTCGACAGAAGAATGACATGGGGTCCACATATCAACAAAAAAAGAAAAACTTTAAACCTCAGACTACGACTGTTATACTCACTTCTCTCAAGAAGCTCAAAATTAAACCTAAAACAAAAACTGAACACTTACAATTATCTACTTAAGCCCATATGGACCTACGCTTCACAAATTTACGGAACAGCCAAAACGACACACATACGAAAACTACAAACTTTTCAGTCTAAAACTTTCAGAACCATAACCAAAGCTCCATGGTACGTCACAAACATTACACTACATAAAGACCTTCAAATGCCAACAGTAAATGATCACATACGGACACACTACAAGCTATTTCACAATAACTTACATGGACATACTAACAAACTTATACAAAGTATGGCTACATTTAACATGCCCGAAAACACACTTAGGAGGCTCAAAAGGAGCTGGATGAGGGATTTCCTCACTTAAAAATATGCTAAAATCAAGACAGGAAGGGATGCCGCTGGGTACTCCTCTCCATCACGCCGATCAAGCCACTACCTGTACACTTACCGACAGCAGACCCGCTAATTGTCATTGCTTATGACAGGTGTGGGTGAATAAATAAAGTTAATAAAAAAAAAATTAAAGTTAATAAGCTTAAGTTTACAGAAGCTAATGGAAATATTCTCATACAACCTTATTAATGAATAATCTTATTTATTAAAAAAATATAAATAATTATTAAAATATTGATTAAAAAATATATTTACTATATATATCATATTATTTTTATATTTAGTATTATATTGTTCTTTTTACAATATGTTACAATGCATTATGTCATGCTTCTTATCACTCGTAATGTTTGAAAATTTACAGAAGTGAATGGAAATATTTTCACACAATCATATTAATGAATACTCTTATTTATTAAAATATATATATATATATATATATATATATATATATATATATATATATATAAGATAAAGACCGGAGACTGGCGATATCAGCCTTAATGCCATCCTGGAATGTAAATAAACATAAGAAATGTATATAAGTAGGATTACTGAATGAATAAAGCAGTGTCTATTCAGAAGCCGTGAGTGTTGCATCTCAACCCCTTTCCTTTCTTTTTTTTTTATTGTTAAAGTCCGCCGACGCTTAACTGGTGCCGAAACCCGGGAATACGTCAGGAGAACAGAGAAGTAATTTTTTTTTAAGTTCATTTTTTTTCTCGTTGTTTTTCTTCTCCTAGTCATAAGGAAAGAGTGAGATGCCGACAGAGGGCTTAATCAGACCGGGAGTGTTAAGCGCCCCGGAAATCCCTCAACCTCAGGAAATTCCGCAGATACCTCAGATCACGCAGGCCCCTCAGGTTCCTCAGATACCTCAAATACCCCAGGTACAGCAGATCCCGCAGATCCAGGAGATCCCTCCCTTACCGAGGGACACATTGGCAGAAGCGCACGCTAACGCTCTAGAATGGATGAAGGTAAGAGCGGCGACCACG